AGATGAAGTCTCACCATCCTTGCCTCTAAGGAGCATTCTGGTTGTACTTGTTCCAAGACAGATCTGTTTGTTTTTTGGGCAATCTCTGGTACTTGCAATAATCTTAAATACCCATGACTAAACCTAACAACCTCTGTTCAAAGTGCTTAGGGGAAACTATAAAACGCATTGAAAGGTATTTTAAAAAGATATCAATAAATGGAAGACTGCATGTTTATGGAAAAGAAGGCTCAGTATTATAAAAATGTAAGATCTCTCTAACTTGATCCATAGAGACCAAACAATTCCAGTCAAAATCCCAACAAAACCCGGAACTTTACAAGCTGATTTAATGCATTAAAATTTAATTTATGTAACCTTCAAAAACATGGAAAACTAAATAATACATTGTTTGTGATTACAAAGAAATATAACAAAGCAGTAAAGCAAACTTCAAGATACTGCGTATCTCATGGCACAAAACCCAGCAGTTTCCTTCTGTTGCACACACGTGAGAATGCACATTTCCTGCTGTACGCCAGAACTGACTCGCTGGAACTTAACAACAAACAACAACAGTTATCTCAACGGATGAAGGATGTGAACAGGCTCGTGGAAGAACACAGAGCAAATTTCAAAGTGAATGGTAATATTCTTCTTACACTCTGTGCTGGCATCAGAAGTGATTAATGTTTGGTTAGTTTTCAATACTGTCCGTATATGTTATAAAACCTGTCTTGTCTCTACTCCTTATTTTAATAATTTAAAATAATATAATGACCCCCCAAACAAAATTTCCATTTATACAATGAGAATATTTAAAACAAGGAAGAAAGTTCCATAGGCAATAAGAGTGTCAAACCAGTACTTTTCTTAGTAACCACCTACCTGTTGCACACAAAAAGCAGTTCTTTTTCTTTTTTCCTGCTTTGCAGACGTTCACGATGCTCAGCAGGCGCTCATCGTTCGGTGTAAAGATGTCTCTCTGTAGTGCGTGTTTGATTGCCGTCATCTTTGCTCAGCTGAAAAAGACCACAATATCAACATTAACCTCATCCTGGAAAGCATGCTACTGTACCTGACTCTGTTTACGACCGAAATGATCTTTACAAGCTTAAAGAAAGCAACTTTCGAGGGTGATGGGCCAGCAACATGAAAATCAAAAGCTGTAAATTTAGAAATCAGCTTAGAAAAGAACCAGTGTCATCAAGTTTTAAAACCTGAAGTGTGTAACAGGTACTAGAATACAAAATAAAAAGCTAAAGATTCAAACAAGTCAACAATAAAAAGGCAAATACAACTATTCTACAAATTTACACACCAACCACTAAAATAGTGTGGAAGAAATTAAAGAATTCTATCAACATCTTCAGTGTGAAATTGATCAAACATGCAATCGAGATGCATTGGTATTACTGGCAATTGGAATGTTAAATTGGAAACAAAGAGGAGAGATCAGTATTGGCAAATATGGCCTT